GTCGCCGGAACTGAGTCAGCACATTTATACACGCCCACAGGCCCCCAGGAAAGGCACTGGGCCATGTGTATACTCGTCTTCAGTAGTTAAAGGGTTAACGAGGGAATTGTGTGTACGGTATTGCCTCGATCTCCCCTAAGCGCTATTTTCTTCATAATAATTTTTTCTATTTTCATTTTATTTCAGAGCATCACGGGCCACAAAAAATTATCTCGAGGGCCACATGCGGGCCCTCACTCGAGGGCCACATGAGGGCCACAAACTCGAGGGCCGCCAGTTTGACACCCCTGCTCTAAATGCTGGTTATACGTTGTGCATGTGACTGCTAAATCTCATCAACACCCTTCACAGTTGATTTGATCGAGTCATCTAAATTTAAACAAAATCCATCCTTCTGAAAACAGAAACTTATGGAGCTCTAGAGAATCAACTATGAAGATATAAAAACAGTCCACCTTCGTGAAGGCTTTTTTGAGTCAGAAAGTGTTTCTGATTCACTCCTACATCTCCCTCACCCATCAAGGTGCCTGGGATTTTGTACATCCTCAATTTAACTCTGTTAATCAGTGATGAATGCATGAATAAGTCAATGGCTTCTTCAAATTAAGGCTGGCAGAAGAGAATCATGGGTAAAACACAAATGCCACAACAAAGCCAAACCCTCTTTCTTATGTCTAGGATAAAATGACCATGGCTTCAGAACCAAGTAAAGAGTGGTTTATGATTAGCAGACAGAGCCACCTCTTAGCCACTTCATGTTCAGCGCTTCCTTCTGTCACTGTCATCCATTGTTTGGTCAGGGACTGGTTAATTCGGCTTATTTCTGGCAAAGTTTTCTTGGAAACATCTGTGGCTCTAGTGTGCTTTAAAAAAGAAGAAGAAAAAAAGAACAATCAGGAACACACACACCACACACACACACACACACACACACACACACACACACACACTGAGTAATAGATAACCCAGTAAAGCTTATGGCACAGGTAGTAGATAGGACCAGTCCTCTCAGACATTGGGAGCTATGGCATCAGACTGGCCTGGTTTTTCCAATTCCTACCCTTGGCCACTTGGTCTGAGCCTTAGTTATATCATTTTAAAAAATGGGATAGCAGTGCGACCAGGTGGCTCAGCTGGTGAGAGCATGTGCTCTTCACAGCAAGGTTGCCAGTTAAACTCCTGCATGGGATGGTGGGCTGCGCCCTCCACAACTAGGTTGAAAATGTCAACTGGATTTGGAGCTGAGCTGTGCTCACCACAACTAAGATTGCAGGACAACAACTTGACTTGGAGCTGATGGGTCCTGGAAATAACACATTGTTCCCTGAAAAAACACATTGTTCCCAAATAAAGTTAAAAAAAAAAAAGTCTCCTTTAAAAAAAAAAAGGGGGATAACACAAAACTACTAAAAACGGGGCCTCAAACAGATACATGTAGGCCAATATTTACTGCAGCATTATCCACAATAGCCAAAAGGTAGGAACAACCCATGTCCATCAACAGCATCAACAGATGAATGTGGTGTACACATAAATGGAATACTATTCAGCCATAAAAAGGAAGGAAATTCTGATACACGCTACAACATGGATGAACTTTGAAAGCATTATGCTAAGTGAAATAAATGCCAGGTACAAAGGACAAATATTGTATGATTCCACTTATATGAAGTAGGAAAATTTATAGACAGAAAGCAGATTAGAGGTTACCTGGGGATGGGTATAGGGGGAGAGTCATTATTTAACGTTTCCAGAGTTTCTGTTTGGGGTGATGAGAAAGTCGTAGAGATGGATAGTGGTGATGGTTGCATTCAACAACATTGTGAATGCGTTTAGTGCCACTGAATTGCTCACTTAAAATTGGTTAAAGTAGCAAATTTTAAATTTTGTTATATATATATTTTATCACAATAAAAAAAATGAGATAACAATACCCAATACCTATCTCCCTGGGATCTTTTTAAGACTCAATGATATTATGTATACAAAGCCTTTATATTATAGTAGGTACTCAATAAATACTAGTTTTCTTTCTCCTCTTTAATCAGCCACAGATTTTTACTTTTATATCAATGGTTATCAAACTTCATTGTGCAACAGAATCACCTGGTGATCTTGTTAAAGCATAGATTGCACGGCCCATCTCCACAGTTTCTGATTCAATAGGTCAGGAGTGTAACTCAAGAATTTGCATCTAGCGGGCTGGCCGAGTGGCGCGTTGGTTAAAAGCTGACTTGGGACGCCAGAGGGCCCCGGTTTGGATCCCACATATGAAGGCCACTGACACTGCCCTCTACAGCTAACATGCTGAACAACAGCTCAACTTGGAGCTGGGCTGCCAGGAGTCGCCAGTGATGGTGTAGGCTGCAGCCCCTGCTGCAGTGGGTTGCCATGGGCTACCGTGTGTGGCCAGCAGCCAGCATGATCAGCGGGCAGCCGCAGTGAGCGGCCGTCCAGAAGCCAGCAACTGATCTGCCTCGCCCAGGAAGAGCGCAATGATGGTGCCAACTTGGGCCAGTGAA